AAAGTCCACCTCATGCTTTGCGCATAATACACAAGCTAGCGAGGGGCTGGAATTCTTCCCCATGGGGATACCCACAACCTGCTTGAGAACCGTCTTCGCACACACAATATATGTATTTTATAGTTCATAGCTTACCATCTGCCGGATCTGGGAGAACCTAATCGTAACATAGCCTGGTCCATGGCTCTTCCGGTTCAAGGTTACTACCCGGCCACGTCTGCTCAGGCTCAGCTTGAACACCCCTCTCAACTCCCGTTGCTGCAGCAGCCAATCTATGGCTCGCTCAATTGCTCAGGGCGGCAGCAACGTGAATATCTCCTTGATGTCAAAGCTAGCCATCAGTGCCATTGACTTTTCACCAAAAATACCGAGTTTTCTTCCGGCTACCTCCAAGTTCTGCTTCAGCATCGCCGTGGCCTTCAGATTGAAGTGCTTGGCTTTGGGGACTCTTTCAAGTAAGAAGTTCATCGCCTGTGCTAGTCTCCCCGCAGTCCTGGAACCTTCTGCATTCGTTGGTGCAATAGGCCTCCACCTCGTCAGATCCTTATGCTTCGGTAGTACATACACCTGCCCAAGCTTGGCTGCTGGGTTCCAGGCCCCTACCTTGTCAAGGGCTAGTTTTCTGAACTCCTTCCTCACCTGAGCTAGACCCTCTTTCTCGGTCATCCTCGACACTTGCTGGTAGGCTACGTTGAGATTGAACATCATCTGGAGGCCATGGTGGCAAGTTGAAGGGCACATGACCACCAGGTCACCTGTGTTCCTGTCCACCGGGACCACTACCAGGTGGCTCAACCTTGCTGCTATCTCCCTCGCCTGCTTTTCAGAGTATGCAGGCCTAGTCTCCGTCGGTCTGAAACTCTCTCTTGCAAATCACTCAGGTCAGCTACCTGGTACAGATCTCTCCTCATGACCGCCCCCAAGGACCATCCAAAAGCTTGCTGCGCATCCGTCGATCTTGCCTCACCATCCCTTTGCAGCACATTCTTCCCGTTGTGTAGAAACAGGGGAACCACTGAGCATTGTGCAGCACGAGCTAACACATGTCCTTCCACTCTTGGTAGCTGATTCTGGCTGCACGTACGCAGCAACGAACCCTCCCTTGCTGCCTTCCGATGGTTGGTCAGGACATGTTCATCTGTGTTGCTCTTCTTCCACACCACTCTAACCCAGCGCTGCATCTCCGTCTTTAGCACCGGGTGAATTCTGCTTGTCTCCACAAACAACACCACTGTGTCGTGAATCTTCCTCTTCCTCAGCCGATGGCTATACTTTACCCTCGCATTGATCTTCAATCTGATATTCACCCGTCTTCCTTCTGATCATTGCAGCTATCTTCTCCTTCAGGGTTCTCCTTGTAGTCTTGGTCTTGAATTCCCTAGCGCACTGGTATAGCAAGACTAGTCTTCAGCACTCCAGTACCGATGTCGGGTATCTGGTACCAACACACACACACACACACACACACACACACACACACACACACACACACACACACACACACACACACACATGCATACAGGGGTATCAGCGATGGCTGGGAGGGAGAGCTTGTGGACGAGAGACAGCTGCCCCCGCGGGAATAAGGACCTTCTGCGTTGTCGTCTTACCGTTGGCATTCCCTTGTCGTTTTTCATTTTTGTTTTTTCTTTCTCCTGTTTTTCTTTGTTTTTGTCCTATTTTTCTTTCCCTCCTTTTCTCATACTTTGTTTCTTTCCCTTTTTTTCGTTTCGGTGAATCATTCGGGGGGTAGTAGGGGATTGCTCTAAGCTTGCGCAAGCTGAACGGGGACCCTTCCACCTCCCCCGTGACACTGACCCCACGCAAGAGTAGGATAGACACCTATGGACCTGAAGAGCAGCTCGCTCTCGGTCTCGGCTGGGAGATACTGGCTGATGAGGGAGCAGCAGGCCAACAGGGCAGACGTGAGGCGTTACCCTTTCGACCACTGCCCCCCCAATAGGATG